GGTGTGGCTCATTTCTGCCTACAGTGATAAGCATGTGGTGAGAAACAGCAGAATTAGAATGATGTCATATCATACATCAATCACAGCCTTTCCTCAACAATGGGGGGAGGGGGGCCGGAGGTGGGGGGAGTAGCACCTTTGCTCTCTACGGGAGAAGGTACAGATAGAAGATAGCTAGAAAATGGAAGGGAAGTTGGTTGGGGGCAGGGAGCCAGAATCAACAGACCCTGGTAAGGTTTCACTTAATACCTGTGGAGGGTAGGGGAGAGACGAGAAAAGGAGTGGGGGGAAGAGAGCCCGGCCTTCACAGCGGACAGTTTTCATCCTACATCAGACATGATTTCAAGCTCCCTTCCCTATTTTGGTCTTGTTGTTCCTTAATGTAGCCCCTCCTACCCTAATAAGTGCCAGTCCATGTTGGGGGCATGGTACAGGGCTAGATCTAAGGGTTAAGCATGGGAGGACAACTGGCTCAGCTGGATTGAACCAAGGACCCTGTAAGTACCAATCCATGCGTAAGTAATTTCAGACACTTAATAAAAAAGTCTTGGGTGGGGTCATGGCTCAAACATAAGAGAGGTTGCTCAGCAAGTATAAGGCCCTGAGTTTAGTTCCCAGTACTGCCAAAATAAGAAAGGGGGAGAAAGAAAAAAGAGGAGGAGGAGGAGGAGAAAAGAGAGAGGGAATCAGGGAAATACAGAAGAAGGTAGGAGAGAAGTTGGGAGACAAGGAGGGAAGGAGGAAGAAAGAAGATATCTTCCTAGGTATAGTGGCTCATGGCTATAATTTCAACTATTCCACAAGCAGAGATTGGGCAGATTGTAGTTTGAGGCCAGTTCAGGCAAAAATGTCAGTGAGACCCTTTCTAAATAACTAAGCTAGGTGTGGTGGTATGTGCCTGAAATTCCAGCTTTGTGGGAGGAATAAGTAGGGGGATCTCATTGAAAGGCCATCCCTAGCAAAGATTTAAGAGGATATCCCAAAAAATAACTAAAGGAAAAAAAAAAGGCTTAGTGATGTGGTGTAAGCGGTAGTACAAGGCCCTGCATACAAATCCCAGTACTTCCTGCACAAAACAAAACAGAATGAAATACAGGTCTGGAACAGCATCCCATGGCCCTGAAGAATCAAATCAAAAACCAGAGAACCTACATTTGAAGCCCTGGACATTCAGGCTCCTGGGTCATTTCAACCTTGAGTGCTGTTTCCTGCATCTTTGGTTCCATCCAAATTGAGTTACTTAAGATTTCCTGTCGAGAGTGGCTTGGAATTTGCTGGTCCCTTACCACATTCTGCTTGTCCTGGTTCATCTGCTTAAAATACCGGCTGTTTTGTCTCCATGGTTCTAGAGACTTTATGCATCCCAAAGGTGAGTGGAAATGCCAGCTCTCTCCATCAGTTCATCCATTAAAGACCCAACAATCACACTGATTAGGTGTGTTTAACCACCAGGCAGTAGGCTTAAACAAACAGGAAGCACTATGGCAAGGTTTTCTGGGTTTGTAATACTGTTAGATATTATCTCTATGTTAATATCTTTTATCATCTTGTATTGTTACATATATCCTCATCGATAAGGTTCTTTTTTTTTTTTTTTTTTTACCAGTCCTGGCTTTTAAACTCAGGGCATGGGTATTGTCTCTCTAAGCTAGCATTCTACCACTTGAGCCACAACTCTACTTTTGGCTTTTTTGGTGGTTCATTGGAGATAAGAGTCTCATGGATTTTCCTGTCTGGGTTGGCTTTGAACTGTGATCCTCAGCCTTCTGAGTTGTTGGGATTACAGATATGAGCTACCAGTGCTTAAGAGATAAGCAGAGAGGTGCCTGAAATCACTTATGTCCCCCACGTAGCATCCACGGAACTCAGGGGAACAGCATGCTACAGATGCTTAATCAATGCAGGCAAGAAGAATCAATACAAGCTCAGGATCAGGGAGCCTAGCACAGTGCCTGGCCCCTTTCTGGAGGCTGGCCCACAGGAAGCACTCGGTACACATGCACTGTGGGCAGGTGCATGAAAGGGGAACTCACAAAGGCTTCGGTGTTAAGAAGGGTTCAAAGGAGGTTGGGTGCTCCTTTCAAGACCCATGAGAAGACCCACAATTGGAACCAGAATGTTCCACCACCCATGTGATGATAAGATAGTAGCGTGAGAAATCCCTCCTGTGACAAGCAGCGCTCCATACACAAACTGAGATTCCATTCTGAGTCACCGATTTAAAGAAAACATTTCAGTATCAACAAATGCCTTTCACCAAACTTTATCCACAGAGGAATTGAAGGCAGAGTTGGATTTGGGCTTATTTTCACCCTCCTCCTTCTGTCTCGGTGACCCTGATTCTGTGACCCCTGCAGCAGCCAAAGTTCAAAAGATTCAGGAAGCCACCAGGCAAATGCTACATTGTTCTTTCTTCTTGAAAATGAAAGAAATACATACAGCTCCCGCCTGGTCTGTTACTCAGCAAAACAGGAAAGAAGGAAATGTTGATTATATATTTAAAAAAAACTTCCAGAGAATTAGATCACATGGTACAATTTTTCTGTCTTTATGCACCAGCTAAAAATAAATTTAATTTTAAAAAGGTAAACTCTCCAAGGATACATCTGGCCGATTTTATTTACATAAAAACCATTTTCTGGGCAGGACTAGGGTTTGAACTCAGAGCCTTTCACTTCCTAGACTAATGCTTGCCTCTGGCCCTCAAATTCTTGAAATGACAAACCTACAGAAATGGGGAACAGATCAGCAGTTGACAGGTGCCAGAGCGGGAGAGCTGGGAGGAGGAAGTAGATGGGGATATAAAGAAGCGACGTGGGAGCCCTGTGGCAATGGTTTGTTCTGGCTTGTCTGCTGACAATGTCAGTGTCTTTGCTGTAATTTTTCAAGGTGTTCCTCTTAGAGGGAACTGAGTACAAGTTTTATGTATTGCTTTCTTACAATGACACCTGAGTCTACCACTATCTCAAAGTTAAAAGTTTAATTTTTTTCTAAAATTATCGTAAAAAGGCAAGAAGAAAGTTGGAGAACTCACAGTTTCTGATTTCAAAACTTAATACAAGCCAGGTAGAGACGGCTTATGCTATAATATTAGCTACTCAGGAAGTTGATATCTGAGAATGAAGGTCTGAAAGTAGACTGTGCAGGAAGAACATACCCACAAGACTCTTATCTCCAATTAACCAGTAAAAAGCTAGAAGTGGAGGTGTGGTTCAAATTGTAGATTGCCAAGTTGAGGGAGAGCTCGAGAAGTGGAGTTCAAGACCCACTATTGGCATAAAACAACCAAAAAAAGTAGTAGTACAGTATGATTCTACACTTTATAACTTTGGGGTTTAGAGTAAAAGAGTGGAAAGAAGGATCTCAAAGAGATATTTGAATCCTGTGTTCCTAGCAGGGTTATTCATGACAGCTAAAATGTAACTGTCACCCAAACATGTAGGAACGAGCAAACAAAATGTGGTACATACACATATACATAGATATCATTCAGTCTTAAAGAGGGAGGGACTTTGACCCACACTATATCATGGATGCAGCTTAAAGACATTATGCCAAGCAAATAAGCCAGTCACAAAAAGCCTAATCCACTTGTATGAGTTCCTATAGCAGGTGCATCCATACAGACAGGAAACAGAATGGTGGAGCCAACTCGCTGGGGAAAGAGGGAGTAGGACCTAGTTAAGGAGTATTTCCATTTTGCAAGATAGAAATCATTCTGGATATTGGAAAGCACAACAGTCTGACAAGTACCCAGCACTCCAGTGTTAAGGTACTTAACACTGCTGAACTGTACACTAAGAATATTAAACTGTACTTTATATGCATTTTACCAAAATTAACAGTAAAGTTTACTTGAAAGAAAAAAAAAGTCGCTGTCTCCTTGATCTAAGTTCCTGTCACTCTGTCTTAGTTTCACAGACCAATGAGAAGAGAAAAGTAGCCCAATCACTTAATTAAACCTCAAAGACTTTCAAAGTCTAGAGGTATTGGCACACCAAGCTTTTCTACTGCTTTAATTAACTGCATAATCCTTTTGGATTCCCATTCCTTCTGCCTGTTACTTAATTCACTAAAGTTACCATCAACTTTTCAGTAATGATTAAAAATGTGCTACTTATTTATATTGGCACTTGACCTTAAATAGCTGCAAATGAATAAGTCACAGCCACAGATCAGTCATGAAATAGAAAACTGAGCGTTTTTTTTTTCAGTGCTGTTGTTTTTAATTTGTCTGCCCCTGTCAGACTCCAAGGTTAATGAGAGCAGGACTTGTCTTCCTCTTGTTTGTTTTTAACCACATATAGATGCTTAATGAACTGTGTTAGCCAAGTGAAGCTAGCATTTAGTGGTGTTCTACACAGAGGCACATAGAACCCAGAAAGGTAAAATAATGCATGTTATGACGGGAAAATGTTCAGAGTCAAATCCATTCTTTTCAACATGTCAGACATGTTGAACTAGGTGATTAACTATAAAAATACAAGAATTTCCCAAGGAGTTGTCATAGAAAAAAAAATCATCATTTGAGAAGAGGAGAGAAAAACACAAATCTACTCTGGCAACACTACTGGTGTGATCATCTCTACAAAGTAAAATAATAAAAATAACAACAACCACCAAGTATAGTTTGTATACTTCCCATGGACACAAATCCACACATATAACCCCAGAAATGCAATCATAATATGTGGTTCAAACTGAAAACCTTCCAGCTGTGTGCTCTGCTTCCTTCCAACTCTCCTCAAATGAGCCACAAAGTCACCTTTAAATTTTTTACTCCTACTAGAACAGTATCGTTTTTCATAATTATAGAGTAAGTGTGCCGCCTTTGATGTATTGAGCCAATTAAGTGAAACTTGGTTAAAAATCAGAGGGGGATAAAAAAGGGAATTTTTGGTAGTAAATAAAATAGGGATTTTTTTTTAGGAACCCAAAGTAGTAGGAGTTTTCGCTGTCATCAAAGGGGGACTTTCCCACTTTCTCATCATCAGTCTGACCTGGTTGGTTCTGTTGCTCTTACTGTCCTTGAACCTTCCTCCTCCTGGGGTCTTGGGTGATTTCTCCACAACTTGACAGAGTTCCTGAAATGGAGAGCATCCTATCAACAACCAAGTGGGAGGAAGATTCAAAGACCGGGCGGGATTGGACTGACCATCTATTCGTTTTCGGTTACCTGGCTCCTCTCATAATCAGATGGATCACATGCAGTGAAGGGGTGGATACATTTTCTTTCGCGTTTACACCAAGCACAGCCAAGTCTCATGCACGCTGAGCATCTGGCAACAAAGAAAACCAGGTTAATTCCTACATTTTTAGAAAAAAAAATGTTCCTGTCTTACAGCTTCTCTCTGGGATGTCAAGAAAACAATGAAAAATAGTAATAAGGATGATGGTGATAGTGATGATGATGGTGGTGGTGGTGGTGGTGGACAGAATAGGATGGATAAAGGGAAGAGAAGACAGATCTTTGAGTTTGGCCACAGAGTAAGACTTCGTGTCCTGTTCTGAGAAACCCTCAGAGTTGATAGATTGTCATCACACCTGCAGAGGCGTTGCCATGGAAACCTGAAGCTGGGGTCACCTGCTGGTCTGTAGATAACAGGAACCCACTGAATCTATTTCTGAATCCAGTTTTGCTATTTGTCTGTCCTCAGGTATGTCCCCCCCCCCCGGGACAGATCTCTCTCTCCCCATGCTACCACCTGCCTGCAGACCTGCAAGCCCTCGCTCAGGAGAGCAGTGGCACTGCCAACTTCATGGAAGATGTGAGGCACAAAGCGTCACTCGGTGGGAAGAGAGAATGGGTGCCAGTGTTTGCTTTGTAATCAAATTAAGGAAGAAGTGTGTCTACTAATCAAATCATCTATCGCGCATGGATAACTGTGAAAGACTTGAGAAAAGCACACATTCAAATAATAAGGTAAAGGAGAAACAGTTAAAAAACAACAACAACAACAACTTAGTACTTAGTCTTGAAATGTGGCTAATGGAGCCCAGAGGAGACCTTGGCAGGGGACAGCAAGGGCGTTTGGCAGGAGAAGGCACCCAGGCTGTAGCTTACATACTCTCCAAGAAACGCTGAAGTATTTCTGAGATTCTGACCCACAGAAACTGTCCTCTATTTTCCCTGGTGGGAAGAAAAATAGGACTCCATCTTTCAAAGAGCAATTCATGACTGGTGAGCCCCCTCCTTCCACTAGTTCCAATCTGCCCAGGAGAGTTTTTAGCAGCTGCCTGCAGAAAGGGCTCTTACCTCTGGAGGCTCTGGATCTGGTTTTTAGTTACCTAGTGTTTGGCCAGCAACCAAGTCCCTTTCTTTCACCCGACCTCTGAAACTGTGATAGGAGGAGGAACTACTTGGTCTGTAAATGCACCTTGAGCTCTAAAATTCAGTTGAATTCTCTCCTCTTTTTTTTTTCCTGCTTGCTGGTACCCGAAATATGAAGGTATCTCCCATTTTCTGCTCATCGCACCACTATAAAATAAAACTATAGAATAAACTATAGAATAGCTGACATGATCGCTTCCCATTGTTCCCAGGGGAACTTCTGTCCCAATTTTCTAACTGGAAGGTCAGGACTCTGAGAACCATATTTGCTCTACCTTCTCTCTGCTTTTCACCTAGAGGAAGTATGTGGCCCTAGGTTAGGGACTACATCGCTGAGTAGAATCAACAATGATAAAGAGGGAGGGGAGGGAGGTTGTGGCTCAGTGGTAGAGTGTTCACTCTAGCATACTCAAGGCCAGGATTCCATTCCTAGAATTCTCCCTCTCCCCCTAAAAAAGGAGAGCAAGAATGAACATGTTCTTTTGGGTGTTCATCTCACCATCTGACTCCTGTTGTCCTTCACTCAGCCATGCTATCCAAACTCCCAAGGCTGTTCTGAACATGGGGAGGCCAGCAGTGCCCCTTACTTCAGGGCTTTCTAGGCCTGGGGAAAATCCATTTCCCTGTTGTTAGAGATCTATTGGCGCATGCGCTCTTCCACTGTTCTAGTTTACTCGTTAAGGCTTGAATGAGCGAGGGAGCGAGCTTATTAGCTCAGTGGCTCTCCTAGCTCCCATTAGGCCATGCTCCAAAAGGCACTTTGGAAAGTTCTACTCCACCAAAGAGTTCTTCAGGAAATTGAAGAGTAAAAGAAATAAATTAAAACCAATGAGAGAACATTTTAAGTTTCAAATATTAAAAACAAAAACAAAACAACTCTTACTCTCTTAATGATGCACAATTGGTAAAGTTGAATCTTTCCGATAAATTCCAAGAAGGGAAAGAGAACATCACATGGACAACGAAGACATCTGGAAGGAAAGCGGGGGAGAGAACATCATCTATGGTGGATTGTTGCTATCATGAAACATAGCTGTAGCTGCAAAGACAGATAAATAAATAAATACTTCCGTCTTCTCTGCATAGAGGGCAGGGTTGTGCCAGCTGTTTGCTAACATTCCGATCAGTATGTGGCTCCTTCCCCCACGGGCCATTCATGTCAGACAACCACAGTGCACAGCACAAGCTTCTGAACAGACTGAGCCTAACACTAGCTCCAAGGCTCCCATGGATAATCACCAGGAAAAGCCATTTTACAGCCCATTTACATCTCATATTCTCCCTGGGATCACTATCTCAGCTTGTAATTGGCCAAGGCATGAGAATAAAACAAGTCACCGAGCAAGAAGCGCCTAGAATATGAAAACCAGAGCATTGGGAAAGAAATCTTTTTCCTTCAGAAAAATCCATACTCTGCAAATATTTACCTAACAAACTCAAATGTGCACTTTCCCAAAGCGGTTATTGGTGATCTTCTTGAAGTCAGCTGTTGGTAAATCTATGATGAACATCGTCTTGTTTGGTTTTGAAAAGCTACCCAGTGATTAGAAAACCCTCAAAATATGGATGAAGTGTGTGCTAAGTCAGCACTACAGACGTGTAATGGTTTCCATATCCCCTTCAACATTCATACCCGATCCAAAACAGTCACGCCCAACGCCATCTGTCTATCAGAATCACTGGAGAATCTAGAAAAGCATAGGTTCTGGGGTCCTGCTCCTGGATATCCTGGTTTGGTAGGCCTGGGATGGATGCAAGAATATGTGGGTTGCAATGCTCCCCACATAACAATAATGTAGACACAGGTTTGGGGTTGTGGCCATAGTAGTACCTTTCAAACCCTGTGCTGTCTAGAGGTCAGTGTTTTTGATAGCTTTCTACTTAAATGGATTAATGGGGGTAGTAGATGATAGTTTGTGTGTGTGTGTGTGTGTGTGTGTGTGTGTGTGTACATGTGTGTACGTGTATGTACCAGAACCAGGGCTTAAACTTAGGGCTTTGTACTCTCTTCCAGTTTATTGGCTCACAGCCCATGCACTACCAATTGAGCCATGCCTCCAGTCTAGGTGGTTCATGAGAGATGGAGTCTTGTGGACTTTTCTGCACAGGTGAGCGTCAAACTGTAATCTTTCCAGTCTCAACCTCCTAAATAGCTAAGATTACAGTATCTGGCTGATACCTTTTTTAGTGTACCAGTTTTGGGGCTTGAACTCAAGGCCTGGGTAGTACCTTTGAGCTTTTTTTTTTTTAATTGTTTTGTTTTTTGGTATGGTCGTGGGGCCTGAACTCTGGGCCTGGGCGCTGTCCCTCAGCTCTTCAGCTCAAGGCTAGCACCCTACCACTTGAGCCACAGCGCCACTTCCAGCTTTTTTCTTTTTGCTTATATGGTGCTGCGGAATCGAACCCAGGGCCTCAGGCATGCCAGGCAAGCACTCTACCACTGAGCCACCTTCCCAGCACCTTTGAGCTTTTAAACTCCCCGCCCCTCCCTCAAGGCTAGCACCCTACCACCTGAAGCCATGCCTCCACTTTTGGCTTTTTGGTGATAAATTGGAGATAAGAGTCTCAATGACTTTCCTATCTGGGCTGGCTTTGAAACACAATTCTCAGATCTCAGCCTCCTGAGTAGCTGGGATTATAGCTATTAGCCACTAGTACACCTGGCTCAATGATATTTTTTTAAATCTCAACAAAATAATAAATTAGCCCTACTTTATTGGTACCCCTAAATTTTCTTATCAAAATTTTATTAGTGCACGGTTCTCAAAGTCTTAAGAACTCTGACAATCAGGTGCTTGTTTGTGGCAATAAAACTGACTCTATAGTCAGAATTTCATATAACATTCTGCTCACATAAAGTAGGTTTATATGAAATGATCATCCTCTGTTCTGAAGACAAGGAGGCTTAGAAGGCTGACATGACCTCTTGGCAGGAGCATCTGAACAGACACTTGATGAATGTTAGCAGAATGAACATATGGAGGCTAAGTACTGAGAGACTCCCAGAGAAAATACATTGCCACAGAATTGACAGTGTCCAGTGATAATGCCTGCAGAAGTCATTCTTCACTGAGAATCAACTATGCACAAAGCATTGGGAACATCACAAGGCAATGAATATTCATGATCTCTGCTCTGGAAGCATTTGTAGTTCTTCTGGAAGAGGTAGAATACCTTAGGTAAAGGATATAGCAATAATAGCATAGCCAAATCAACAGCAAGTACCTGACTCTAGGATACAGGTATGTGCTGAGGACCACTGGTGTTGCAGAATGACCAGACTGTCAGAACAGAACCTGGCAAGGCTGTCTGGGAGAGATGACTTTCCCCTTGGGCTTCCAAGCATAAGGGACACAGGGCTGAGTGGAAGGCATAAAGCCATTTAAAGAAGGTCATGGACCAAGTTCTAGCAGTGGCCTCTGGCTGGTTAAGGACCAGAGGTAGAAACGCACCTATTTGATTGCTCTAGAACATATAAGGCATTTGGTGAAGGGCAGGTGAAAGGTTGAAAGAAATTTGATGGAGGTTCTAAAATCAGCCAATTAGCTTTACAAGTCAATCTCAAATACTTTAGATCAGATTTTATAGGTGAGCGAGTTCTGCATCTTAATTAGCTAAATTAACCAGAAGTGCATTATAAAGGCTTCATAGTGTGGAAAAAGTAGGAAATGGAGGTAATTTTCCAAGCAGTTCTGACCTACACAGCTACCATGAGTCTACTGGCTACCGGGCATTGTTGAGCTCAGGGCTCTGGCACTAGATTCCCTTTAGAGAGATGAAGGACCAAGTGAGTGAGGTCTATAGTCTGAATGCTAACGTGGCTTCAAAACTTTTGTGTTGGGATTGATGTCCAATTTGCTGGTATTAGGAGGTGAAGCCTCTGACCTCATGAATGGAACTGGAACACTTATAGGGGAGGCTGCAGAGAGATTTCTTGCTTCTTCTGCCCCATAACAACAAGATACAATCTACAAAGCAGAGAGCAACTCTCAGCAGACACTGACTGTACTAGTAATTTGATCTTGGATTACTCAGTCTATAACACTATCTGGCGGGGCACTGGCGGCTCACACCTGTAATCCTAGCTACGCAGGAGGCTGAGATCTGAGGATCATGGTTCAAAGCCAGCCCAGGCAGGAAAGTCTGTGAGACTCTTATCTCCAATAAACCCAGAAAACTGGAAGTGTGCTATGGCTCAAATGGTAGAGCACTAGCCTTGAGCTGAAGAGCTGAGGGGCAGCACCAGGCCCAGAGTTCAAGCCCCATGACTGACAAAAAAACAAAAACAAAAGAAAAACCTGTCTGGCCTCTGGCTAGAGTACTCATATCCTGGTTCAACTAGGCTCACCCTCCAGTTGTACTTGGACTGATACCACTTCCTTCAGGAAGCTTTGCTACCTTCCCTATCCCAGCTCCAAACTGGTGGCTTATTCATGTGTTTCCCATGATGCTCTAGTGCTCTGGATTTATACTGAATTGTAATGAGCTGCTTGTTGGTCTCCATTCTAGTAGCTTATAAATACTATGACCAGGGGTCAGCTCAGTCTTTTTCAGTCACCATATCCTGAACACATATGCTCAACAAGTACTTCCTGCATAGATGGAGGTATGCAATAGACTTCTGCTGTCAGAAGATTGGCTGCAATACGTATTCATCTGACCAACAGCATTTCAGATTTCAGATCTCTGAATTATTTGAGCTGTTTGGGGAGAGTCAACCAATGGTGTCTGGCTTTACTGCTTACACGGCAGTCTCAGTCACTGTCCAGTCATAACTGATAGTAGGGTACTAGAGTCAACAAATGAGGTAGGACAGAGGTGCAGTTCCTAGGCAGGAACTAATAAGTAGGGAGAGGAGGAGCATACAGAGGATAGTATTCAGATCCCTGGTGCTTTTCCTTGCTTCATAGGATTAGCTAAACCTAGACGTCGCCCTTGACTTTGTAACACAATCAGGAGGAGTGTACATACTATAGCTTGGTCTGGTCGGGATACTGCAGGTACAGGTCCGGTTCTGCTGACTTTTGCCCTGGCAGAGCACCTTGCTGGTATCCACGTTCCTCACCACACACTCTGAGTGTCTTGGAGAGAAGCTTCCTGCTATGGTCACCGTGGACTGTGAAGACACAGAAATCATAATTGGTTTTCTATCATCGCTCTCTATCAACTTACCTTTGATCTATAAGGGAAAGGGGAATTTCTCAGATGAGTGGATGGAAATGTTTTATTTATTTGATTTGCTCTTTTCTGAATCCCATGTTCTTATTCTTTGACCAGATTTCTGATGTGTGTGTATTTTTTAATCAGTTTTTAACAGTTCTCTGCATAGTATAGATATCCATCCTTATGTCATATTTCTGACTCATATTCTCTCCTCATCTCGTTTGTCTTGTAACTTTTATCTGTGGAATCTTTTACACTCACGCAACATATTTTTATGCAATAAAATACAAGTTTCTTGTCTTGATCACGAAGCTTTTTCCAAACCCTAGTGTATGACAAGTATAAGATTGTTCCATTGTCTTTATTGTTTTAGCTTATAAACGTCTATCTTTAAATCCATCTGGAATTTATTTCTATATATAGTATGAGATAAGAGTCCATTTTCATTTTCGTCCAGATGGTTAATCAATTATATCGCGGCCATTTACTTTTAAAAAAAACACAAAAATCTTTCTTTTCCTACTGAACCAAGATATCATTCTTGTCATAGATTATATTACCACATATTTGGAAGCTATTTCTGAATGCTGTTCCATTCCCAAATCTATTGATCTACTTCTATTCTAGTGTCACCAAGGTTTTACTACTGTGGCTTTAAATATATTTAACATCTGATAAAGCACACTTCTCTATATTCCTTTTTTCATAATCATGAGCTTTCCTAGACATTATTCATCCACGTGAGCTTTAAAATCATTTTATACAAAGAGGATAGGGGGAACATGCACCCTACTTGGGTAATTCTAAATATGCACGTTTGTTTTAGGGAAAATGTATGTACAGATGAATTCCTATCTAAACAGAGGATTTTGCTTTTATTTATTGCTCTTTGATCCAAGGTTTATTTAAGAGGATGCATGATGCCATTTGGAGGGAGGCTTGTGTGTGTGTGTGTGTGTGTGTGTGTGTGTGTGCTTGTATATATATTGATATATGTACAGGGGCAGAGCAATTTCAAAGTCATAAGGGAAATCTTCCCCCGTGACTTAACTCAATGGACAAGGCAGGCAGGTCTCCTGTTTAGAAGGGAAATTAAAGGGATTGACATACCAGCATGAATGCACTGGTGTTATAGAAGCCTATGGGGAGTCTGGTAGGAAGCTGGACTAAAATTAAGGAACTAAGAATGGAGGAAAGGCTCACTCTGTCACCTGTGATAGGATGGAGAGGAATAGTCCCAATAACCTGGGAGATGTCATTTGTTAGATTTGACCTCTGCCCAGACATTCTGCACTGTCACCTAACCTCTGCTGCCTTCCTTCCGTACCAGGAGCTTACACTTGTATTTCTAGTTTTCAAAATACTTTTTCTTAGTCATAGAATCATGCTGGAAGACATCAAGTTCTTTCAGTTCAACTTCACCTGGACTGATGACCCATCATTTCCAGGAAACTTAACTGTAGGAGTGAATCCAAGTCACTCCCACTGGTCATCCTCACAGGTCCTTCCTGACCTGTCATTCATGCTGACTTCTCCAACACATTTACATCTGCAGCACATATCCTAGTCCATGACCATATCTTGTATCAAATACACATCCTAACATTCCTTGCTTGAGCATTAGAACATGAGTATCAGAAAGTCTTCACAAATCCTATTCTCATCAACTCTCAATTTTTCCCTCATTTTCCTTCTAGTTCTCATACAGTGTTTATAATCATTCCATTTATTTATTGCATAGGAAAGTAGCAAGTCCTTAACATAACCAGGTACTATACAGCATGCTGAATCATCGGTGAACCAAAAGACTACAGTTTTCACCCTTAGAGAGCCTGCAGACTAGTAGAAACATAGACACTCCAGCAGATATGAACTAGAAGACTAGTTACCAGGTACTAAGAGATGATCAAAAGGTAATAAAAAGCCTGAGTGGAGATAGCACAGTGGGACTAGAAAGAATTGGATTGTATCAAGAAACCCTTTAGAGGGAGCCTAACAGGATTGGAAGTGGAGATGAGGGTATCAAGGATTATGGTGAGCAACTAGAGGGATGGTGGTATCACAGGGACCCAAGCCAGAGATGAAACATACCAAGGGAGAGGCAGACTTTGAATGGAAGATCAAGAGTTCAATTCTGGATATATTTAGTTGTAGATACTTATGTGATCATCAAGAAGATATGTCAGGTTGAATGTAGGCCTGGCACTCAGAGGACTAACCTGGGTTGTAGACAAAAGCAATATGAATATAGTTAATACATAAAGCTATGGGAGTGGGTAAAGTATAGAATAAGGAAAGGAAGAGCTCAAGTTGGGTTTTACATAGCTCCACTCCTAAGGGTCAAGTAGAGAATGAACCAGGCTGGGAGGCTGAGACTTGACTAGAGAGGAAGAAAAGTGTGGTGAGGGTGTGTCATGGAAGAGAATGGAAGATGAGCTTTCAGAACGCTACCAATAAACCAAGTTAGAAGAGAAAGGACCTATAAGGCCTGTAGAATGATTACATGGAGTTCATCAGGGAAACTGGCAAAAACAGGTTCAGGGGAACAGTGAGACTGAAATCGTAGGGGATAGCGCAGAATTTCAGGTATCATGGACAGAGAGCAGTCTGGGAGTTGAAGGGTGTTTTGTGTGACTTCAGGTTCCAGGTAGGTAGTGGTTAAAAAGCTGAAGCATAGGTATAAGAAAACAAATATGGGAATCCGACCCAGGCTCAAGACTTTTTGATGAAATAGACTGGGTAAAGAGAGAGAAGACACATCACAGTAAATCAGATGGGTACAGAGATAGGTGGAGTGTTAATTAGATGGCAATAGACTAGGGTCAAAGAGCTCAGAATTCTATCAGGTCCCGATGCAATAATCTTACTTTTACTTAGCCTTTCTCCTGATTGATGAGCAGATTACCTATTTCCAGACTTCTACTTCTATAAATGCTATTGCAATGGTGTCTTCATGCTTAGGGTTCTTTTTTCAAGTTACCTCTCCGGGATCCTACGTCTGGAACCAGCGTTTCAAATAGAATGAATATATTTATGATTTTTGGATCATACTGCCAAATTGCTTTCCAAAAAGATTGTGTTAATTGGCATCTCCAACACTGGTGTTAGCATAATATATTATTGCTTTAATTTGTATTTATTTCATAACTAGTGAGGTTGAACATATTTCCATATTTATATCTACTTTTCTGAGGAGATATATATACACACACATATATGCACACACACACCTTTGCCCACTTATTATGGGACGTCTTAGTGATATTTTTCTTTCTTCTATAATTAATATTTTTTCTGTAAAAATATTTTCTTGAACTGTTTGCTTTATTTAACTCTTATTTTTTCTTGCTTAGATTTTTTTTTAAGGAAGTCAAGGTCTGGAGGAATGGCTCATATACTTTGTTTACATGTGTGAGGCCCTGGGTACAATATCTAGAACTTAAAAAAAAGAAATCAACTATATGAGTATTTCCTTTTGTTATTAAACACTTTATTGCTAGGAAAATTACCATACTTTCAAATGATCTGTTGTTAAATTCCATTTTTCTGTTAGTTCTGTAATATAACTTCATAGACTTTCCTTAACTAGCCTAATTTTTTTTGTCAGTTGTGGGGCTTGAACTCAGGGCCTGGGCACTGTCCCTAACCCTCTTCATGCTCAAGGCTAGCACTCTACCTGTTAAGCCACAGTGCCACTTTCAGTGGTTAATGAGAAATAAGAGTCAGTCTTACAGGGACTTTCCTGCCATGGCTGTCTTTGAACCACAATTCTCCTGAGTAGCTAGCATTACAGCCATGAGCCACTAGTGCCCTGCTAATCTTTTTATATTTAATGTGAAATATAGATCAGATTTGGTTTCTATAGTATAGGCCAGTATTTAATACTTTCTTATTAAATAATTATTTTGTTTCCTCTTATTTTATCATATCTGTTCTGTAATATAATTTTTATATTTATTAATGAGCTATATTCTATCATTCTTTATTACTATTTTTAAAATTAGAACATGGACTAAATTATTGTGACATACATATATACAACAATATATACCTTCAACATAGAATATACACTTAGATATGTTTGTAATCCCATGGGAGTGGTTGTGCTTAAATAATTTTTTCCAATATATGCTTTGGATCGTCTCCATCAGTTTAGATTATATTGGAGGAATGAATTTTTTGATGCCTATTCAATTTTCACTGAATTACATGAAATCTAGAAAAATTAGTTAGGGAAGAAGTGATATCAGAGTAATATTTTTTTAACTACGGTATGTAAAATGTTTCTAGATATATTCAAGATTTCATATTTTACAAGAAAATAAGCTATATATCTATTTATTTATTGGTTGTTGTTTATATTTTGTGTGTGTGTGTGCACACGCACACTGCTTGAACTCAGGGCCTTGGCACTATCCCTAAGCTTTATTTTGCTTAAGACTAGCACTCTACCACTTGAGCCACAGCTCACCCTCTGACTTTTTGGTGGTTAATTGGAGATAAAAGTCTCATAGATTTTCCTGCTTCTACTGGCCTCAAAACACAATCCTCAGAGTTCAGCTTCCGAAGTAGCTAGGATTATAGGCCTGGGCCACTACCAGCACCTGGCAATATTCACATTTTTAGTTGGTAAGGTCAAACTATAACAAGATCATACACAGCCTCAACAGACCCAGTTTTGCTCTCTATTTAGTACCAGAAAGAATGGATTAAGGTAAACTGTTATGAAGCCCAAGTCACTCATTTTAGTATTTTTTTCCAACATGTGTCTCTTGGTAGAAGTGCTGTATATATACATTACTCTTTTGTTTGTGCTTGAATATTTCTGCTGTTTTCATGAATGGTATTTGTTCTATGAATGAAAGTTAAACGTTTTACCTAACACATAGCATGATGATTGATTCCAAAGTATTTATTGAGCATTACATCACTTCAATTTATGTAATTTGAATTTAATTTGAATAGGTTTGGGGGGGGGAACAGAACTGAGATTTGAACTTGGGACCTCAAGCTTGCTAAGCAGGTGCTCTACAGCTAAGCCATGCCTGCAGCCCTTTTTTGTCTGGTTATTTTTTGAAATAGTGTCTTGCCTTCCTGCCCAGGCATACATCTGAACGATGATTCACCTGTTTCAGGCTCCCCGTCATAAGTGGTATCACAGGAATTCCCTACCACGTGGGCTGAGAATTGGTCGTATGCATTCCTGGGCTGCCTTGGAACCACCATCCTTTTGATTTTAGCCTCCAAAGTAGCTAGAATTATAGGTGTGAGCCACCTGCACCTGGATTATTAGAATAGTTTTTATTCTTGTTTTTTTAATTTTTGGGCCCTGGAGATCAGGCCCTAGTGTATGTTAAGCACAAGCTCTTCGACTGAGTTAGTTTACAGCTCCAGATCTTAGATTGTTTCAAAAGTGAATATATGTATGTTCGGCTGATAGGTAACAATTTAACATTAGCAAATCAGGGCATTTTTCTGTATTTCAACATCCCAGAAATAGTGATTTCTGTTATTTATTTTTTACATTCTAGTACTGAACAGAACTGGAAAAGTGGTGTTGATAATAGCAGTGATGGTAGAATTTCTTGTTTCAGTTATGATTTGTAAGAGTGCTTCTAGTATCTCACCTTTAGGGAACATGGTGTTTGGTGAGAAATGCTTTTCTTCATAAATCTTTTATACACTTATTGACATACAACACGGTACAGAATGTTAAAAGCTCTGTATGGTTATATAAACCTGGATAGTGTGAAAATGGGCTGGTGGTATGGATGATAATGGAAGTGAGGCTTCTTGTTTTCTTTTCCACTGTCTCTGCTCTCCCTTGCTCTCTCTATCACATCAACCATCCCACCAAGGATGATGCCCACACTTACAAATACATGTGAATTCTCCATCTTGCTCTCCATGCTCAAATAATCATATAGAGACAAAGCCATAAACATACATTAAAACCTTTTTTTCTGGCCTGTACCAGGGTTTGAACTCAGGACCTCAAGTTTGTTCCCTTTGTTTGTCCATGGTTGGTGCTCTACCACTTAAGCAATACCCCCAACCTTGCTTATTTCTGGTTATTTTGTATTTGTTTGTGGGTGTTTTTTCCATTAAAAAAGTATCTATAAGAAGTTATATAAAGAGTAATTGTGCAACTCAACATATCACTTTATAAGTACAATGTATCTTGATCAGTACTGGTTATTTGGAGTCTCACACACTTTTCTGCCTGGATTGGCTTTGAGTCATAATCTTCTAGATCTCAGCCTCCTGAGTTGTAAGATTTAGATATGAGCCACCAGCATCTGATCATAGGTACATTTTTTTAAAAAATCAGTATTAGACTATGCTCTGTATACTATTCTGCATCTTGTTGTTTTTACTCAACACCACCTTAGAGAAATCTCCCCTAGACTATCTGGAATTGCTCTAATTGCTTCATTTTAATATGGATTCAACAGTGAAATGAAGATAGGCTATTTCCTAGTTGTTTTATGTACAAAAATAGACTTTTGTTTCTGCCTTATATGGGAGACCAGACCTGCACTCATGAAACTACTAGAATGCTGTGGGCACATGATGGACAGCTAGCTGATACTCTTTGACTCCAGGTAATAGACGGAAACAAGTGGGGTCAGGCTCATATATCATAATACAGGTAAGTTGTAGATGGCTTTAAGGATAAGGACATATTTTTGAACTAAAGTCACGAGACAGAGTCAGATGTATTATCAGTATTATTAAAAGGATCATCACAGAGCTCAGGGATGTAGCTCAGTGGAAGAGCACTTGCCTAGGATACATGAAGTCTTGGTTGGGTTCAATCCCCAGCACCACCAAAAAGAAACAAAGAAATCAATCCAAAATTGTTTCCCAAGAATAGGTTTAGTCAGATTACTAGATTGCTTTTATCCCACTTTGAGAGTGATGGTAAGCGAAAAGAGGGAGGAAAGAGCTGTGTGGGATGACTTTGAGGTCTCAGATGAGCCACAGTAGAACTTGGGGTGGAGAGAAGGCCTGGGGGCTGGGGGGTATTGAGGAGGTTAGCATTTACTAAAATGTCCTAGATGAGATACAAATGGTAATTAAGGTATACTAATGAACCCAGAGATAGGTAAGCAAATTACATAAAGCAGCATTTACAAGCTACTTCCTCCCACTTCATGGAGCTGGAGTTGCCCTCAAGTTGTTGTTGTCTTTTTGTAATGACAAAGAGAAAAAAAAATCTTGTATAAACTTAACCACCTATCAGAGTCTTGAGTATATTCAAAGCTCTTGTTACTTTCTACCTTCTCCATTAACATCAAAGCCAGTTTTTACTCAGATTAATGACAGAAATAAAAATTGTAGCCATACCTCTGCATGGATGGCTATAAGGGCCTTTAACACCTCATCTCTGTTCCTTCTGTCCCTGGGGCTTGTAATTTGGCTTTGGAATCCTGCCTCCTTCCCCCACTACCAGGAACAACAGAAAATGACAACCCTCAAGTAACTTCAAACCCATGAGTTCTGACCAGTTACGCTTGAAAGCTTGGTTCTTTTATTATTTATCACTCATTAAATGTTCTGGCTCTCCTTTATTAAATGTTAAATCATCTTAAGTGGTATGGTTCTTGCTACTGAAATGGCAAAGTGTAAGAGAAAGAGAATGTGGCCTGTTTCCTTGTTAATGTGACATTCAAATAAAACACAGCCAGTGCAACAGACAGGTCAACTGGCTGCTGATGGGGACTCTGTACAATTATTCATAACACAAGAGCCATAATTAGGGAGAAAATGTCTCCTTACAGCACCATTGAGATTGCCAGGGAGGAATGCCATTCTCCCACAGGGCAGGTTGGTTATGTGCCTCAGAAAATGCTTGAAAATGCTCAATGCATCCTCAGTTTTCATCCAATGATGAGCCCGCTGACTCTCCAAGACACTCACTGGCAGTGGTCAACGCCCACACTGGTTATTGCTCCTGGTCTACCATGCTCCCCGGCAGCAAAAGTCCAGACATGTTAGGATAAGGAACAAAACACCATTCTTTTACTCAGCCACATTTAAAGATTGGTTGTTTGGGTTTGTTGTGGGGGAGGGGGGGCATGGGCGAGGAGGATGGGAGGATCTGGCCTTCAAGTGTTCTACCACTTGAGCCACATCTCCAGATCTTTTTGCTTTTAGGATATCTTTCAGGTAGAATCTCATGCTTTTGCCTAGGCCAGTCTCAGATTTTGAGCCTCCTTACTTATGCATATCTCTGTATAGCAATGATTACAGGCATTCACTACTACATCTAGGTTTTGTTGTTGTTGTTTTAATTGGGTGACATGGGATCTGGCTAAGTTTTTGTCTGCAGAACCAAGATCCTCCTGGTCTCTACCTCCCAAGTTGATGAGATTCCAGCTATGTGCCATGAAACCCAGCCCCAGGCAAAGAATCTTGTTGACCAGAAGCATAAACTTATATTCTCTCTGTTTTTCAAGTCAAGATGTACTTCTAATGCACAGAAAGTCCATTTTCTCTTTTAATTCAACTATTGAGGATCATCCTTTTTTATTTTTTTTCCCATCCTGGGGCTTGAACTCAGGGTCTGGGCACTGTCCCTAAGCTTCTTTTGCTCAAGGCTAGCGCTCTACCACTTGAGTCATAGCGCCCACTTCCAGCTTTTTCTGTTTATGTGGTGCTGAGGAGTTGAATCCAGGGCCCCATGCATGCGAGGCAAGTGCAACACAAAGCCACATTCTTAGCTCTTGAGGATCATCTTTAACTCATCATGATACAAACTTCCTGGGGACAGGCACAAGAGATGACTTGGTTACTACTGTCCTCCCACACCAGTAACCACATGAATGGACGCCTACAACAAAAGCTGTTCCATTGATGATAGACACTTTACTTCCAGAAGGAAGTTATCATCAGTTGTGCAGGATGAGACAATACCAAGGAAACAAGGAAGCAAACAAACAAAAATCTTCCCTCTTACCTTATCTCTGCTGCTTCGAATTATCTGAATATGAGGACATGTCTTTGCTCCAGATGAAATATCCAGCCAGGTGTGTAAGTTCCCTGCTTGTCCACAATCTCCTCTAAAAGTGCATCTAAAAAAAAATAATAAAGGCAACAAAATAGGAAACACCACACAGCATTAGTTACAACTTTCTCCTACTTGGCTTCAGTACAACATCTTTTGTATAGTGGATTATTGATTTTGCTTGAGGATAGGAGCAAGAGGCTAAAACCATGAAAAGCAACAAGCAAACAGCAAGAATTCTGTTTTCTGGGGGTTTTTTTCTATCATGTCTGGGAGCACAGAACAAATGTCAACAACATGTTGAACTTAGACTCCTGAGCCATCTCTCAAGTTGACATCACCAAATACATTCAAAACACATCCTCTCCAGATTTTAAAATAAAGAGTTCCATTCTAGATATACCTAATGCATGTTGAATAAATTTTAGGCTTACAATTGAATCATTTGTATCATTGTTTTGTGTTTCAAAAAAAAATAATAGAGCTACTATTTTGCGTTTTGCAGCAGAATGATTAAATTAAAAAAATATTTTTTTCAAGGGCAGAGTCTGCCCAAGAATTTGATAAGCTATTCCAGAACCATCTGCTACAGAACATTTATTTAGACAGATTCCAAATTATATCAAAAGATATGGGAGAAATATTTTCCAGGGATACTTTCCCAGGTCAAGCAGCACAGAGGATGTCCCGTGTACATTTTAAGTTGTGTCCCAGGCCAATTACTTTGATAAACAGATGCTCCTAAGCTGAGAAGTGAGATCACTGGCTTCCTTGATGCCAGGGTCATGCTAGGCCACACTCTAGGTCACACTAACTGGGGAGCCTTTGTCTCACTAGATAGGCCACATCCCAGTAATGAAAATGAACATTAAGTGCCACATTATCTTCCAATGACCTAGGACTCCATAGACATTCCATTGAATAGTAACAAGAGAAGAATGAAACACCCTTGGTATCTATCCCTCCTCAAGGGCACAGATAAAAAGAAAGGGGTGGTGAACCAGTGGCAACCAGAATTAAAAGAAACCGAAAACACATGAATCATGAGACTGAAAAGTCACCAAATGGTGATCACATTCAGCTGTGGGAAGTCCCTGAGAGGATCCCATGGGCTCTGGAATAAGGTTTGGATGGGCCCAAATCATGTATCATTTGACTTCGAAATAGACTATTTCTTCTTCTTCCTCTTTTCTTTCCTTTTGATTCTTAAGAATTTAGGCCTGATGGCTTCGTCTCAGAGCTCTGTGCTAATTTGAACATGACCAAAATAGAACAGGAAGTCATTGAGTTTCATTACACATCATCCCCAAGTACAATAGTCTTAGAATGTCATCCACTAGGGAACTCCCACTCCCCATGAACACATCTGGGTCCTGAATCCCATCCCCCACTCCACATCTGTGTCACTTCTTTCCCCAAATACCACCAAAGAGGTTTTCACGAACAATTCTCCAAAGTCATAAATTTATGTGACCCTTGATGGTTCGCTTGTCCGTCACGGACATTAAGTTCAAATTAAACCACTTGCCAATGTCAGGGAGAGTTTGCAATGGAGGGACACTGTACTGAAGCACAGAGAAAAACAGCTTGGCACTGGTTCCTTATTTATATTTGGAAGAGATCAGGACTCTCAAAAGCTCCCTACCTCTCTTGGGCATTCTGGTTTGTATAAGGCACTTCCTCTGCCTATAAGAAAGAAAAAAAAATGCAGCCAATTCTAGAGAGACTGGAGTACAAATATTTTTGTAGGCTCTTAATGCTGCCTAGGAGTCAAGGCCTAAGGCTGCCAAAAAAACAAGTGTAAAATATTTCATACAAATAGTGCTACGATTTGCCAATTTGTAGGCAGAAAACAGTAGTGCCACTGAGCTAACTCTCCCTTTTCTGAACTCCTATAGCATTTCTTGTCAGCACCACACGTTTTGGTGTTTAATCATATGCTGCCTTGAATTACAACTTAACAGTTTCATATGTCTTTGTCATTTCACCCAAGTAAGCATTAAGCTCCTCAGAGGAAGGGAGAACATCTTTAATATTTCTTTAGCAAATCCCTCAGTGTCTGGCAGTGTCAGATGCAAACACTCGGATTTCAATATATATTTTTGAGTGAATGGAAAAATTTGAAATCTCTATCGGTCCTCTTTCTATGGATATTTTTTTTTCTTTCTCGAGTTTTGATTTGTGTGTAACTCCTCTTGACAGGAAAAAAAAGTTTATTTTGTAACCTAAACTAAAAGTCTGAATCTGAGGATTAAATTAGGAATTGAGGTTAGTTGAGATTTGAAAGAAAACATAACAACAAATACATAAGGACCCTTTCATTTTCTATTCTGTATAAGATGTATGCAAAATCTAACCATGTTAAGCACCTAAACAAAAATTCTTTATGCCAAAAATCTACCTTAGAAATCTCTAGACTTTCATTCCTTGCCTCTCACTTGTTTAAAGAGAATTTAAAAAAAAAAAGCAAACTGTGACATCAAGAATGTATAACCAGATGGTCACCAACAACAATATCTTATTACTTCTCAAACATTGCAGATTGTAAAATCTTCATGACAGCACATTACCCACACATTCACATTTCTCAGATCTCAGAGTGCCCACATTTCAGTAAACAGAATCAGTTTCTTTGAAATCATTCCTTTTCAAAGCTATCACTCTTATCCTTGTGTATCAACAAAAGCAATGGTCAAATATACAAGCACATAAGCCACAGCTGAAATAACCTTCCAGTCCCTCAGACCCAACTCCTGGAGAGTCTGAGTCCTCAGTGAGCGACTCTCCAGAGAATGGATTTCTTAACTGGCTTCATTTCAATTTCTTGAGGCCACAGATACAAGGGAAAGGGAATCTGGATTAGCCTAAGTGTAGACTGGAGGAAATAGCAGGGACATATTTGAGATGTTGGTTGGTTGTTGGGTTTTTTTTTTTTTCACTTTTGCCATTACTTTTTGCTCTAGCCTCTTCTGAGAATCTGTCAGTTTGTGCTGCTGTAACAGAATACACATGACTGTGTAATGTATAAAGAATGGAGATTTATTTCTTACAGTTCTGAAGGCTGGGAAATTTGATGTCAAGTGGCCTGAATCTGGCTGAGGGCCTGTGGCTGTGCCATCCAATGGCAGAAAGTGTAAGGATAAGATATAATGAAAGCCAAAGACAGAATTCACAAGCTTAAGCCCTTTCCTTTTATAATTGGCCTTAATGTATTCATGAAGGGGGAGCTCTCTCAGCCTAAACACTTCCTATTAGGCCTTGCCTCTCAACATTATTTTGCATTCAAACCATTAACATGTCACCTCTTGCCCTAAAAATTCATGACTTCTCCCATGAAAAATAAATTCTTTCCATCTCCAAAGTCAGCTGATCTAGCATCAGTTCAAATGTCCCGAATCCAGAACTTTATTTGAATAAAATATGGGTGAAACCCAAGGCACCATTCACCTTCATCCATGAGCACACAAAACTAAACATGTTATATATTTCAAAAATATTCCAAAACACAACGATGAGGACAGGCGTAAGATAGACTTTCCTGACTTGGAAAAAATTATATTAAGCAAAGTAAGCCAGACCCAAAGAAACATAGGTTGCCTGGTTTCCCTCATTTGTGGTAACTAGAATGTGTCAATAAATCTACAAGTAAACACACTGGATGGTATAAAAAAAAAGATGCACTGGGACAGGGTAAATTATACAGGTCTCCAGGCATTCACACAGAGAAAACAAAGGAGGATATTCTTAGGAGAGGATCACAAAGGCCCAATAGCTATGTGCATATGATCATATAAAATAATATTTAGCCAAATGAACTCCAGGAAATGGAAAGAAGAGGTTTTCTTTTTTCTTGTTGCTGTTTTTGTTTTCTTTTCCTTTTGTCTTGTTTGTTTGTGTGTCTTCAGGCAGGTATGGGGGGGGGCACAGAAATAGTGGGACAAAGGGTGAACAATGCAGCAGTGATACTCACTAAGCCCTTTGTTGAAAGTGAACTATATAACTTGTGGGTGGAGACAAGAGGGAAAAACTGGGAGAGAGCTAGGGAAGGGGTGACATTGTCAAAAAAGAAATGTACTCTTTATCTGACTTACGTAACTGTAACCCCTGTGTATATCACCTTTACAATAACCATTTTTTTAAAGATAGACTTTCTGTTCCAAAAAAGAAATAAGCAGAAAGAAAAGGATAAAAGATCCCATATAAATTCATGCAGTCTTTGGGCCCAGAATAATCTCTATTGACTCCATGTGCCACATCCTTAAAACCCTAGGGTGGTGTCTCAGGCAGTTCTGCCTCTTTGACTTTGATGGACTCAGTCCACGCATCGGTACATGATAATGGGTTGGTCTTTTGTCTGGAGCTTTCTTCCAGGCTGCAGTTGCACAGAGTTGGTTCTACAATCTGAGGTCTCAGGAGCTACCATTCTTCCATGGTCTCCCTAGATATTGCCCTACTATGGACTCTGGGAATTTTTTCCTTGTGTCTAGGACAAGTTTCTTTATGGACCACCAGGCTGCCTATGAAAAATGGCCTTGGAAATCTAAGTAGAGTCCATCACAGCCCCACAGCTCATGAGCACAATGAGTACCAGGTAGAGGTTACCACAGCCCATTTGTTGCACCAGGCAGGGTGTTGGCTTAAACTGGACCTCAATCTGCCTGAATCATTGCTGAGGGGCTAAGGACCACTGAGCTAGAATGCAAGGATCCTGGGGTGGCTTGAACAGTGAATATTGAGGTTCTAAGAACAACATTTTGGAACCTTTGCCCTCAAGGTCCCAGCTTACCTTGATGACCTCACAAATGCCATGGAGGTATCTTTGAAGACTAGAACCTGGCTGTCTGCTAGCCATGATAATCATTTTAGTGAATGGTCCTTACCACATTCACACCTCTGATTGGATCTCTTAAAAATGACTTTTTGCTCTTTGCACAGCCAAGCTGTACATTTTCCAAAACTTTCCCCTCTGCTTCCCTTTTCATTACAAACTTTGTCTTGCAATTATTTTTCTCCTCTCCCATATTATAATGCTCAGTTAAGAAGAGCCATACCATCCCTTCAATACCC